GACATGTGACCAGGGGGCGTGGTCATTAGGGGCATGGACATGTGACCAGGGGGCGTGGTCATTAGGGGCATGGACATGTGACCAGGGGGCGTGGTCATTAGGGGCATGGACATGTGACCAGGGGGCGTGGTCATTAGGGGCATGGACATGTGACCAGGGGGCATGGTCATTAAAGGCATGGACATGTGACCAGGGGGCATGGTCATTAGGGGCATGGACATGTGACCAGGGGGCGTGGTCATTAAGGGCATGGGTATGTGACCAGGGGGCGTGGTCATTAAGGGCATGTGACCAGGGGGCGTGGTCATTTAGGGCATGGACATGTGACTAGGGGGCATGGTCATTAAGGACATGGACATGTGACCAGGGGGCGTGGTCATTAAGGGCATGGACATGTGACCAGGGGGCGTGGTCATTAAGGGCATAAACATTTGACCAGGGAGTGTGGTGATTAAGGGCATGGACATGTGACCAGGGGGCGTGGTCATTAAGGGCATAGACATGTGACCAGGGGGCGTGGTGATTAAGGACATGGACATGTGACCAGGGGGCGTGGTGATTAAGGACATGGACATGTGACCAGGGGGCGTGGTGATTAAGGACATGGATATGTGACCAAGGGGCGTGGTAATAAAGGGCATGGACATATGACCAGGGGGCATGGTCATCAAAGGCATGGACATGTGACCAGGGGGTGTGGTCATTAGGGGCATGGACATGTGACGAGGGTGCACGGTCATTAAGGGCATGGACATGTGACTAGGGGGCGTGGTCATTTAGGGCATGGACATGTGACTAGGGGGCATGGACATGTGACCAGGGGGCGTGGTGATTAAGGACATGGACATGTGACTAGGGGGCATGGACATGTGACCAGGGGGCATGGACATGTGACCAGGGGGCGTGGTGATTAAGGACATGGATATGTGACTAAGGGGCATGGCTGTGGATTAGAGGCTGAGTGATGGAGTATTCACCGCTGAGGGTGCGCAGACCACTGCTGGAAGCACCCTGTGGCTTCTCCAAGAGGTATTTCTGAGAGGACAGGAAGGCCTCCTTCTCCAGCAGGAGACCATCTGCTGCCTTTAGGGGACAGAATGGCGACGTGTTTCAAAAGGAGCGTGACACACCGCATGCAACGAGCAGCCAATCACCCTGACGATGTACGAGGCCCTACAACCACCTAGTGGATCGGCCTGGGGGTTGTGGGGGGGGGGGATGAGCCGCGGGTCAGTGCGCATACAGTATGCCTGTCGTGACAGCTGCCAGTATCTCCAGGGAACCTCGGTCTGACCTGACAATCAGGGGCTACATATCAAACAACCAGCGAGACAGCCTGCTCCCATGTTGGGGGGGGGACCTGCAGATGACTACTGGGAACATTACAGGTCAATACTGCTCCAATGCTCACTAGTCCCACATCTTACGTTTGTATTTGCACCCCCCCCCACACACCTGTGATGAGCTGCCATTGGCGGAGGCCGGTTTTATCGCCTTCAGGATGCTGCCATTGGAAGGAAAAGGGAAACAAAGGTGAAGATACTGCACTGCCCCCATACACACGTGTGAAAGAGAAAACTGCTGCCCTCCAACAGAGCAGGGCGGCGCACCTGAGCTCAGTCTTAATCTCATCATAATCCACCTGGGACTGCAGCCTGGCCTCTAGTTTCTGAAAGACACACAGCCTATGAGATATAGACACACAAGCAGATGACACGCCCAGCCAATGGTAACCCCCACGCCTACCTCAATAGCTTGCGCCTTATAGGCCAGCTGGCGCTCCAGCTCCGCGATGCGAGTGGCTGAGGCCTCCTGGACTTCCTGAAGCGTGAACTGGAGTCGCTGGACATTCTCCAGCAGGCGGAGGATCTCACGGTCCTTGGCGACCAGCGTGGTCTCCAGGTTGGGCTGAGAGCTGCCTGATAGCTTGTTCTCCAGGGGGGGCTGGGCGCAGAGAGGAGCAGATAGAGGGAATGCCCTCATTCGTAACAGGCTGTATATGACCCCAGCTCCTCCATCCAGCTGTCCCCTCCACTCCCATATCATGAGCGGGGGAGGTCCATCTTACCGTGTTTACCGCCTCCGTCAGGCGGCCCTGCGCAGGGGAGGCGCTGCTGATTCCAGCCAGCTGTTCCCGCAGCCTGTCTACCTCCCTCTGTGCTGCCTCTGCTCTCTGAAATCAGACCCCACCCCATGTTATCCACATGTGGTTTTTAACTCCCCCCACCGCATGCACTGGGGGTGCGCGGCTCTGGCCCTTCAAGCCCAGCTTTCATGCTACCTTACCTCCTAATCGCTTTATTGAACTTATTAGGGTGCTAATTAACCTCAAATGGTGTTTGGAGCATAGATCAGGCACATAATTAGAATGTAACCCAAAATAGCAGAGTACCCTACACACAGCCAAACACCAACAGCCCATAATATACTAACAAAACAAGCTCCATTCTTTCAGCCAGCACAGTGATAACATCACCTTGGCGGGATGAAGAGGGATGTGGACGAGATGCTGTAAGGAGAGTAATCCGGGGGGGTGGGGGGTCACTAATTAACAGTCAATTTAGACGTTAGTCTGGCGATGGACGGCAGGGGGAGGGAAGGACATAACGGCCCTGACCGGCCACTGCTTCCCATGCCAAGAAAGGGCCAGGGGCTTTGCCATTTCCATTGTGGGGGGGGGGGTCATGGGGACTGATTGCCTTTGTTGGTCCAATTAAAAAATGTGAAGGTGCTCTTTGCCGTCGTTAAGCACGATGGCTCCAAAACCATATAATCCCAGCTTTTAGCAATCATGCCTGAAAGAGACAAGAGGGGGAGGGCCGCACAAATGTCCCCCTCCCCGCCGGCAGGCGAGCTGACAGGGAGCAGCATATTAATACTCCTCCTTGGGGTAGATAGTGAGTGGGTGTGGTATGTTCATCGTCAGGCTGTGTGCACGTACCATCAGCTCAATGAGATGAGCGTTATTACTTTTGAGAAGGTCAAAGGTTACCCCCCCCACCTCCACTCACCTGATTGGCCTTTTCCAGGTTGGTCATGACCCGACCAATTTCCTTGGCCCTAAAAACAGAAGGAGCACAGGCTTGGTCAGTAGCGGAGCATGTTGTCACGGTTACAGTCATCATGGATCCCTGGATGTGACGGCCCACGTGCAACACAGGGAGAACCCAGAGCACCTTGGACAAGACCTCTGCAAGAAGCCAAGCAGGTCTTTCACTCAGGACTATGAAGGCTTGCAGAAAAACATAAAAGCAGTAAGGATAGAGAAGACTGTGCACTGGCCAGAGCACTGAGAGATGGATACCGGCACCATCTCACATCCATCCATCCACCTCATATCACGCCAGCAGGGTGACACCCTGAAGGAGACACCAGTCGATCATTGGTCACAGAGCAGGGGGACACCATGAATGGGACACCAGCACCTCACCCCCCCATTACGCCCCCTGGCTAATTAATCAAATCAGCTGCTCAGGCCTCAGCAATTCATTACTGCTGTTTGCTCCCCCTTAAAGAAACCAGCAGCAGCTATTTCCTGTGGGTGGGGGGGGGTCTTATCGATGACTCAAGTAACAAACAGCCACACTGCGACCCCACTCCCAATCCCCACCTCCTGCAAGGTCCCAGTCCGAAATGAAATCACTACAGCCAGCACATTACCCAGCATGCCCTGTAGGTAGGGCTCCTGCATGCCGATACTCAGGGATGCCCCAGGGCTAAACACCCCCCCCCCCAGGCGCCCACAGGGAAGGGGAGACAACAGGTGGACCGTTTGGATTTAATGAACTCGCACGGTACAGAAAAATGTATCGTATTGATTAGCTGCCCTAACGCCTGAGTCAAAGGAGACAAATGAGAACTATTAGCCCGGGTGGAGTGGAGGCGGGGGGACCAGAGGAAACATGGGGGGGGCATGGTGGAGGTCTCCATGGCCCCCATTAATCATGAGCATCCCCGTCTGTCCCATGGAACTGCCATGATTGCGAAGGACAGGAAGCAGGCAAGTCACCCCAACTAAAGGATGAGTACTAACACAGTATCTGAATACTTGTAAGAGGAGGGGCACAGTCAGTATGAGTGCTAGCACAGTATCTGAATACTCTTAGGAAGAGGGACACAGTCAGTATGAGTACTAACACAATATCTGAATACTTGTAAGAGGAGGGGCACAGTCAGTATGAGTGCTAGCACAGTATCTGAATACTCTTAGGAAGAGGGACACAGTCAGTATGAGTACTAACACAATATCTGAATACTTGTAAGAGGAGGGGCACAGTCAGTATGAGTGCTAGCACAGTATCTGAATACTCTTAGGAAGAGGGACACAGTCAGTATGAGTACTAACACAATATCTGAATACTTATAGGAGGGGCACATTCAGCGTGAGTACTAACATGATATCTGAATACTTAGGGGGGCACCCAGTGTGAGTACTAGCACTATGGCTGAATACTCAGGGGAGGGGGTGCACTCACTGTGAGTACTAAAAGTATCCAAATTCTTGATCGGGGGGGAGCTCACATAGAGTACTAACACTGTTTGAATATTCGAGGGAGCACATGCTGTAAGTACTAACACTCAATACTCTGGGAAGCACTAAGTGTGAGTACTAATACTGCGTCTGAATCCTTGAGTATTGGTTTATGTACAAATGTTTTTAATGTGAGTACTTAGAGTGTCTGAATACTATAGCATAAAAGAGTTAGTACAAACACTGTTAGCATTAGCATCATTACTGAATATTGATTCCTAAAAGTACAATTAACTGCTCATGAGCACTCCATCACCATGACAAAAAAAAAAAAAGAGTCCAAACACTCCGGCGAATATCTGAATTAGTTTTGTGTTTGCAAAACAGCTCAGTATGAACCCTAGTACTGTATGTTGGAGGGAGGTGGGGGGGGGGGTTTGGCGCATTAACATACTGCTGTTATACTGCTATAACGTATTTGCTGTTTGCCATTGGTGTGAATCAATGTGACCGTGTGAATCTGCATGTGCGTGTGTGTAGGGGTCCTGACTCCATCGCCTGCCCTTTGTGGCCTGCAGGTGGTGCCACCCTGACGTTAAGGCAGCAAGGAGGCCAGCGGAAGTTCTTACTTGGACGCCATCTCCTCGTCGTATTTACACCGCAGGTCCAGCAGCTCTGTCTGCGTGCTGCTGAGTGCTGTGGGGGGGGGGGGGGGGGGGCACGGGAGAAACACATTAGCAAGGACACTGCCCATTGCTGCCCCACACCTCCAAGGAATACGGAAATCTCACCTGCGCGAAGCATCTGGGTCCGGCCTTCCGCATCCCTGAGCCTGACAGCCAGAGTGCTGAGTCCATCAGTGTTCCTGCATGGAGAGAGGGAGGGACATGAAGCCAGACAGCCGTAGAGACGAATGGACACAGGGACAGACGCAGAGACACATAAACAGGTACAGAGACAGCCAGATAGGCACAGAATCACAGACAGACACAGACAGATACAGAGAGAGACAAGCACAGACAGAGAGACAGACACAGAGACAGACAAACACACAGACAAAAAGAAACACAGAGACAGAGAGACAGATAAAGACACAGTCAGACAGACACACAGACATTTCATCAGCACACATAGGGATGCACATACTGTACCAGGCAGATGCACCCAGAATCCCTGCCCCCCCCCCGCCCCCGCTTACATACCCCTGTTGGAGTGACACTGTGCCGCTGCGGGGGCTGCTGCTGTGTCTCTTGGGGGGCAGAGCCCCCCCTGCCACTGGGCCGTCCTCCGTGTTGCCTGCATGTGGGGGTGGAAGGTGATTTTAGCTGTCTTTAGAATTTTAAATTATACTCTGAGCACTGCCTTTGAAAAATAGGCAACGAGTTCCTTCAAAAACCAAAACCATTTTAAGGGTACAACAGGATGCTTAGTGTGAGACTGGAAAAACATGATGGTCTGAAACTGAATTTGTCAGAGTGTCTGAGAGTGTCTGTCAGGCAGGACCGTCACCTAGCTTGGCGGGGGCCTCTAGTTGACCTTTGCGGTGCCTGCCCAGCTCCCGGAGCAGCGGGTGGGCAGCGGCCCCGGAGCTCTGCAGCGGCTGCAGCTTCTCCTCCAGGGTGTGCGTGGCCTCTAGAAGGAGGGCGGGATCTGGGGAGACAGACAGGCAGACGCACAGGCAGACAGGGACAGTAAGCGTGCGCTGTGGGAAATGCTGTGTTATATCAATTAAAGGCACCAGTGTGAGAGTCGTAGCAGCCATGGCGGTATTTACACACACAGCATCAGCTCTAAACCCTTCATCTGGGAACAAATACCTGCTCCACACCCACTCTCTCCAGTTTGCTGGAACAATTTACTGTACAGAATGTCAAAAAAAGAAATACTTATGATGGCAAGTAAACTTTGCATGGAAATCAGGATGCAGATGATTTAAGGGAGTAAGCCCGGTGTGTGTGTGTGTGTGTGTGTGGGGGGGGGGGGGTCACCAGCAGCACGCGAGGCTCAGACTCCCCCGTGAGCCACCAGGCGCGACTGACTGCGCCCAAGACGAGCTCGCAGAAGCGCAGGAGTTTAAAAGAGGAAGAAAAAACAATAAAGAAAAAACAAGAAAGTTGTCTTCTGAGGAGAAAGGGAGAGGGGGATTCTTCAGCAGAGAGCGGGGGCTGTTTAACAATGCAAGCACAGCACCGGCGCCCCCAAGGGGCCAACTAGGAGCCTGTTTCTTTGCTAACGAGTCTCCTCTGTATCATTTGATCATTTAAATTATTATGCCAGCGATTCTCAGGGGGGAGACTGCACACTCGACATCACAGGGCTGTTTTTAATCTTCCCCTTCCTCCACCCCCCTCGCTCCTTCTCTCTCTACCTCCCTCCTCCCTCTCATTCTCTTGCTCCCTCACTCTTGCACAGCACCTGCCTGCCGGAGAAGCGGCGTCACCAGAGGAGGTGACTTGTGGTAGCAAAGCGAGGTGCGGCGCGGAGCTCTGGGGAGCCGCCTGACAGGGCGCTAGGGGTGGTGGGGGGGGGGTCTGTGCACAAGCCCTTCAAAAGTCAAACAGAAGAAGAAAATCGCTACTTTACTCCACCAACTTTAGTGTTTCTTTTTTTTATAACTTTCATCTGGCTTTTTTTTGCCTGCTGCATGTATCAGGAGTGCCAGCCCCCCCCCATCCTCCCCACGCACCCCCCGCCTTCAGGTGCCAGGCTCTCCCTCTTAAGGGAGTTTGAAGACAACTTCAGACTTCAAAAAGCAAACAGAAAGAGGCAGTTCATGCCCGGAACAATGCAAAAGAGGCGTGAGAGAAACAACACCATGTGGCTCCCTGGGTGAGAATCACAGTCACTGTGCCCCCTGCTGGCCGCTCCCGGGAGACACACACACACACACACACACACACACACAATGAGTCATGTAATAATATCTTTTTGGGGACCGCTCATTCATTTCTATGGGAAAAATGCTAACGCTAACTATGACTACCTTAACCCCTACCCAGCCCTAACCATAACCATAAGTAACCAGTTTTTGCATTTTTAGTTTTTTCATTGCAGTCATGAGTTTTCCCATATGGGCACCAGGAAAATTGGGGAAGCAAAAACTTCCAAATGACGAACAATGTGGAAAAGCTGCGGGCAGCTAAAACTGTTTGCAGGGGTCCATATATCACAGGAATCATTGGCACGACTCTGGAGCTGTGACATTTTAAAATGAGACCGCTACAGTCCTGCTTTTGTTAAAAAACATTACGGAAAATCAGATAAGGGAGTTTTTAAACAAGAACCCAGTGTCAAAGCTGCGGGAAATCAAAAGCCAGGCCTATGGCCACCGCTGATTTGATTGTGAACAGGACTTGGGTTCAGGAGATATTTCTGTGTTTTTTTAGAAGTTTTCCAAAATTTGTGAAATAGTACTTAATACTAGTCTTTTCACTATCAAGTGTGTCCAGGTCTCAAAGGAGAGAAGATGGTGTTAAAACTTAATGTTTAATGTGTTGAAGGTGTTAAGCACTTGAAGGGTATTGTTTGAAGATTTACACAAATGTATCAAATGGCTTAATTTGATGTAAGTTATTAGATGAAGAAATCCGACAAAGAAATGTAAATTCAATATTAACTACAAATCCCATAATGCCATGCCGATTTTTTTTTTTTACTTCTGGATGAATGTACAAGTGACTTTGATGAAAGGAAAGACTGTTCATGTTGTTTTAGCTTGTGCCGTTGTCCACTATTGATGGTTAGACAGAAACAGAACATTTGCAGATGGAATATGTGCAAAGAAGCATTCCGATGTTCTTGTGCACATGGCAAATGCAGCATTGTTTCATTTTATCAGTGTGTAATTTGATGGGAATCTCTGTGATACAAAGACTTGTGTGACCTCAGCTGTTCGTATGCTTACATACTGAAGCATGTTTGGTAATGAGCTGGGTGAAAGTTTATTTGGTTCCTTTAAAAGATTTTGATTAAACGTAATACGTTTTGTGGTTTTCTCCATCCACTACAGGAAAGTTAACTAAGCCAGTATCTGGTTAAATATTACTTGTTATAATTTCATGTACCTCGTCAGGTACCGATGGGAAGCTTATTTTGCTTTTTTTGTTTGCTTTGCTGTTTTCTTCTTTAAGTAAAAATCCATTTTTGAGATTTCGGCCTGCAAGCAAGTCTTCAGTTTTATTTTGTTGCTCAAGTCATATTTACCTACAGACTGTATTCACTGTCACCCACCTCTCCCATCATTACACTCCCCGCCGGGTCAGAAGAACTGAAGACAGACTATCACCAGGTGTGTCGCACCTGGGCTTGCACCTCCCTCACATCACCAACATACCATAACACAGCACAGACTGCCTGACGGGAGGGTCCTGGGCCTGACCTGGCTTGCACCTCCCTCACCATGCCACATCACATCACCAACATACCAAAAAACAGCACACGTCACCCTTATGTAGACTGCTTCAAGTAAAGTGCTGCCGAAGATGCTCATAGCCCAGCCCAGAACCACAAACCAGAGAAGATGTTAGAATCAGCCCCTGCCTCGTCTGTTCGATTTCCCCATTTGGCTAGTAGGGGTCGCTGGTCATGCCTCTGTTTAGTGCTTTCACTATCCCTTGTGGATTCCCCTGCTCCCTTGGCCACCACATGGCCGAATGGGCTGAGAGTACAGTATATAGTGGATATTGTAGTATTTGGTTTGTTGATTCCTTGTTATGTTTGGGTGATTATATTTCTGTGTTGGTTTCCAGTTCCATTTGCCCTCGGAACGCAGAATCCGAATCGGGATTCTGAATTTTGAAGTCAGAAGTGACGACATGCGCGCTCCCGTTTCTTGGAGATCTGAGAAATATCTCGGAGCAGCACAGAGGATCCTGAGTTCAGAATCCAAGATGGCTGCGCCCTTTATCAACAGAAGGGAAAGTTGTAGTTTTATCCTGTTCAAGCACTACTTCTTATTTGTGGGTCATTAAATCAGTCGCACACACTATACCGTCCAACTTATCTGTGGACATGTTGTTACAGAGTTTTATACGTAAAGCACAGCGCGTAATGTGTTATCAACTGATTTTGCTAACAATGGCTAACAATTAATCGGGCTAGAATTGGATTTCATGATTAGTCGGATTATTTGTCAGATTTAAGTTAGTTTGGGCTAACTGTAAGTGAACAAAGATAAAGGCCATTTAAACTGAGGTCCCTTAAATCTAACAAGTTGTCCGGCTAAGCAAAAAATCTTGCTTTTTGATACGGGTCCATGGTATTGCTACTTCTGTGGCAAATGGAACGCGTCGGTTTTCCCCGAGTTTTTAGCGGATGTGACGTAATCTCGGCAACCAAGACTCGGATCCGAAGGCAAATGGAACGCACCATGACTAACCCTTGCCAGTGTCTAGGTTCATAACTAACCCTTGCCAGTGTCTAGGTTCATGACTAACCCTTGCCAGTGTCTAGGTTCTTACTTATGCCCTGTTACCTTTGATTCTCGTTCCAGTGTTTGAAGCCTTAGTACTTTGTAATTGTTATTAGTTCTCACCTGTCCCCCGTTTAACCCTCATAATCATTGTATACATGCGCCTGCCCGTGCCTTGTTCCTTTGTTGGTTATTGTGGATGTTTGCAGGTGTCAGTGTTGTGAGTATTGTTAGTGCTGTGCGTTTGTAGATATAGTATGTGCTGTGCTGTTAGTATTTGTGGTACATACTGTGTCTGGCCTATATGCTCCCCTCTGTTCCTAAATATGTCTGTTTTAGGCTTAGTTAGTCTTAGCTCAAGCCCTGCCTTTGTTTCACCCCTCATGGTCCCTTTTGATGTGGTGAGTTCAGTCCCTGGTAAAGTTCCTCTTTTTCTGCAAGTGGATTATTGTTCCTCATACCCTGTAGTGACCAAAAAAAGCCCACAAAGACCACAAAGAAGGCAAGACAACAAACTGGAACCTGAGACATGTGACAAACAGCCATAATCAGTAATCTGCAGGTGTTACACCCAAAGTCGATCTACGCACTGGACATCTGCAGTGATACTGAAGGTCCTTCCCTCCATCTGCCCTCGTTGCTGACCCCCCCCCACCTGACGACCACCACCCCCCCCACACTCTCCAAGCCTTCCAGCCGTAAGCTGCAGTTTCTGAGCAAGCGGGGATCTTGCAGCGACCTCCAAAGATCCCCCATCCCCAAAATGGACTGTCCACTCACAGCTTATGGGACGGGCAATGGAGCCCCTGAGGGCCGTGTTTGGGTCGCTTTGGGTGGGGGAGTCATTAGCTGGCCCTGGCTCAGTGGGGTCCCCCATTAGGGCCCCCCCCCCCACAATTACGTTCTGACATAATTAACCCAGCAAGCCCATTAGCTGAGCACAGGACCGCCATAATTATTTGTTGTGTGCATGCAAATGAGCCCAGCTGTGCTGCCTTCGCACAATATGTGTAACTAATTAATTTACAAGGCTAGGCCTCAACTTTTTTATTCAATGTTATCAACCAGTTTTTTCACCATTTGGTCCAAAAATGAGAAAACGCCTTGTGTCTGCACTCATCTGATCTGATCCTTAACTCACTCTGAACAGCAGTTTACTCTAAAAAGCTGAGAGCAGAAGAATTCTTTCTCAGCTCTAGGTCATTATTTGCCCTCCTTTCATGACTGACCTGTGGTGTGG